CACCTAGTAACGCAGATAAACTAGTCTTCGATGACGTGACTAGCGCCTTCGCATCTAGCAGCTCCGACCATATATTCAAATGATATTACTTTCCCAGCCTCACTGTGTGTATTTCTCAAATGCTACATCCAGACATTAGGGTTTTATAAAATCTTAACGTAAATGTCACCGAAATCATAATTTAGTTTGATGAGTGACACCGCCATAGAAAAAGTATACAAACTATCCATAATGACTATTTAATTTAACTAGGCCAACAAGATCCTTAACACTGTAACAATTCCGAAGTACACCAATGCTTTAAGTCTTTCTGTAGCTGAAATACAAAGGTACCCACTTCAACTTTTAAAGGTACTCCGGCAACCCACCTGAACAGGGTTCTCATAGGCGCGTTCATCTTCCATCTCATTAACGGAGAGAGCTTTTGTGCGATGGGGATTTGGAGGCGGGGCGGTAGTCTCACTTTTTAGGTCAGCAGTGAGACTAGACTCGCGGTCCATGAGGTAGCGCAGATGACCCTCTTCCTTGTTAATGCGCGCCTCAATCTCGTGGAGGCGACGTTGCGTCTCCTCGCGCTCGCGCTGCAATTTCGCCTCCACTGTGTCCAGCAACCTCGCCTCCTCCGGAGCCGGGGATATTGCCTCAACCTGCAATAACATGTCGCAATTTCACCATACCACTTATGTGTAACAAGGTTGACAACACGCAATGAGATTAGGCAATCAATATACAAAGCGAAGACGAAGCGAAGCGAAATAACAGAATAAATTTATGATCGAGAGAAAATTCTGAAGGAATCTTGGACAGCTGTTTCTGCTGCAATACGGAAGATGCAATAAAACACAGCCACAATCACATATGAGTAGCAAGCATTTCAGTCTCCCAAAATTTAGTTTTCGTGCTACCTATGCTACTGATCCCTCATATCCTCCATTTGCAGACAAGGGAACTCCCTTCCGTATTCGAAGCTTCGAAGGTAACTCGAGCCCTGAACTATCCGACAGTGGGCAATGAGAGAGATGAACGCAACAACCAACAAAAGGAGAGAAACGTGATTCATTATGGTCAAACGCCTGAGCATAAGCCAAAAAACTCATACACAAAAAGACCATCTTGTTTTGGAGTTTTATGAGTGAAAATTATAAGTCACACGAACTGCATGCACTAGAATAGTAACTTAAGACAACAACGGAAAGCGGATCAATAGAAAGCTTCAATCGCAAAATCAAATAATATTTCATTAAATATCAGTGCCAGAAGTGGTAGGTAAAAATGGCAAACCTAACTCTCGCAAAACATTAAACTTTGTGCCTCTAACCAACTATTTAATCTAATAGTTTTCTGATCAATGTTAATGAAAAACATGTCTGACGAGAGGTCAACATAAACGCCTAAGGTTAGTCGAGTGCTCTTTTAATTCAATTTCCATTAAGCGTGTAGGACAATAAACCAGACAATGAACAAATCGGGTTCAATTAGACCACCAAACGAGCTAACCAGGACGAGGAGATGTGAAAACTGTACCTGTGGATGGTAGGCAGGTTCCTTAGTCTGCTGTCGAAGCACTCCACTACCAGCCGGCATGGTGTGCGTGGTATTATGGGTATGGTAAATCATACTTCCTCCTCCACCACCACCGCCCGTTGGAATAGTGATTTGCTGGGATTGTTGTGGCTGTCCTCGGTAGCCTCCACGGGAGGAAGCAGTAGAGTTGGAGGAGGCAGTGTGGAGGTAACCCGATCTACCAGCTGCAGTCGCGACAGCCGCCTGTTGTTGATAGACACCGGTGTTGTTGGCAGCAGCGGCTGCGGCGGCAGAAGAGACAGCTTGTTGTTGAGCCGCCGCCGCCGCCACCGCTGCTACCGCCAAATTACCGTAGGCTGCAGCTGCAGCTGCTGCTACCGCAGCCGACGACGAAGAAGACGAAGAGGATGATTGTGACAAGGTATTTGGTGATGAAACTAGAAGTTGGGACTAGAAGGACAAAGCACATAGCCATGCGCTTAATCTACCAACCATGTTTCGCAAGGACCAACTGAGATCGGAGTTTGTTAAGACTAATGACAGGGTCGCGTACATATTACGCTCCGGCTACCTTCGCTGAACTCACATGCAGTAAAGGGAGTAAACTGAACCGAGAGGAATAAAAGGAAAAATAGCTGCATGATATCATGGTGAAACAGTTGGCTGATGGTTATCGATTTTCCTCTAACATCACGATAGCAACGTTAGCATGAATACCACTGCTCCACAAAATTTTACTGTTGAACCATGGTGAGAAAGCAGTCTTCTTTTAAACAAGTTTACGTTAAAGACTTTGTCGACAATTGTCACTTATGGTAGTACATAAATGAAACGCATCTTAACCCTAACCCCTGTTTATCATTGAGATATCGAAAGTAAAAAATGGAAATAAAGTAAATCCTCCTCCAACAAACAGAGCATTCAAATTGAACTATCAGAAGGTTATTAAAATGAAAATGTATATTGTGCTAGAAGAAATGACGTGCAAGTAGTAAATTGATGATACAAATTAATGCAGACGTATTTCAGTCCAGGACGTGCATTCCTAGCTAATTTCGAATGGTGAGTGCAGAAAGTCCAACACACGGTGCTTTCCACATTTCAGAATGTTGATTGAGATAGTAAATTTGATTATAAGCTAAATGAGAATTTGCAAACTTGGCACCACAAAAACAAAAACACTTTTGCACAAGTTCAGCACTCAGGAGGGAAATCCATGAGCGCGTTAATAGTTCTTGGCTAACTCTTACCCCAGGCTGCCGCTGACCAACATTTCTTGGTGCATAAGGCTCTGAAGGTTGATAGTAGCCCGAGGAAACCGAGACCCTGCTTCCAGAAGCCGCAGCCTGTTGTTGTTGCTGTTGTTGAGCAACATTAGTGAACAAAGCCAGAATGGCTGTCTTATTGTTCGCAGCATTTTGCAACAACTGTCTATTCAATAGCTCATGTTGTTGCTGCTGTTGACGCGAAATGGAAGAGGATTGGGGGAGGTAAGGCGAAGACGAAGGTGGTACTGATGTAGGGGGCCCAGAGGATCCTGATGAGGAGACAAGACGAGGTCGCTTTGATGGCGGCATTCTGCCTCCGCTGCTTATCGACTGCCCACTGCCGCGTGCCTACGAGGACGAATGCTACTAGTAAAATCAAGAAGTATTAGAAAACTTTTGTGTTGGAAAACAAGAAAATATCACCAGATCCTGGAGATTGTCATTATGGCCCATGTGCGAGGCTGCAGCAACTGCAGCGTAGGTTGGATGAAACTGAGCAGAATTGGCTGACAAAACGGAATACCCAGTCCCAGAGCCAGTAGTGGAGGATCGAAGGGAGGCTGAAGCTGAAGAGGAAGGTCGGTGAGGGTAGGCGGCCGCAGCTGCTGCTGCCGACACCAACTGCTCTGGTAGGGTCTGCTGCTGAGATTGACTTCCACTCCCGCCGTACTTGAGGCTACTACTACCGCTGCCAGCGCCTACCCTGGGTTGACTGAATGAAGCCGATGCTGCAGAGCCCGGCCGACCTGGTAGTATTTACCAATTTTTACATTCAGCACTAATCCCGTCCAGTACATACGCAAAAAATCATTGAGTACTAATGAGCAATTGAGCGCTATACTGTTACATACGAAAGAATCTGGTGGTATTTTTGATAAAAACTCGCACGGCTAATGCTGCTATAATCTGAGAGCCTGTTCAAGTCTTGTTTTGCCACAAGAAACATCAAATAACTCGCCACCTGAGGCAGATTGACCTCCAATACCGCCCAAGGAGTCACTAGAAGGACGAGGAACACCGGTCTGAGGAGACTGCTGATGATGAGTAGGAGAGCGGGACCGAGACACAGAAGCCTGAGGAACCTGTCCACTCAAAATTTGTGATTGAGAAGTTGGTTGCGGATAGTGAGACTGTTGCTGTTGTTGCTGTTGCGCACGCAGATTTTCTAAAACTAAGGATCAGAAGCTGAGTCAATTAGAGCCGGAATGTAAGCAATCTCATAAGCACATCCTTAACCAAAAGCTTGTTGATCCACTCTCCCATTATAAAATAGAATTGACCCCAATAGTAAATCAATCACATGTCGCGAATTCGCTGTGATAAAGACTAAATGTTTTGGATGATAGTGACCTCCAGAGGTGAGTTACATTACCTTGAAAGCCGTTTAACTTTTCTTGCAGAAGAACCGGGGTTAGTTATCAAACCACACCATGAAAGTGTGGCAAAAGACTCCATACCAGTAAAGATCAAAGAGCTAACTCAAGTGGAATTTTCCTTTGAATGGTTGAACTTAAGAACATGTGGTTAACACTTTTAGAAAGAGAATAGGCAAGTGTAGAAATAATGAACGAGAGGCGGAACTGAGCAGCTAGCAGTTTAGCTAATTAAGATGAAGAGCCAATAGTCTCCTACACTCACACGAGTAGAAGAAATTGGGGTTTGCACGAGAGAAGTTAGCGATTATTTCTTCAATGCCAGATTGAGTGCTTTGCTGCTGCTGCTGCTGTTGTTGTTGTTGTTGCTGCTGCTGCTGCTGTTGAGGCTGCTGCGGCAACTGAGGCTGAGCACGCATGGAAGGTGCACCGACACTGCCAGATGGAGGTAACTGACCGCTCCTAGCCAAATTGAGCCAAGAAAATGAGCTCTGATCAACGAGAGGATGCGTGCTGGCACCATTATTACCACTTCTTCCATCGGAGAAACGACCCACACCACCACCACCACC